AACTAATATAATATCTAAAATACTAGCTTCGATAATTTTCGGACGCCTAACTAAGACTCGTGAGCTGCAAACACGTGAAAATCAGGCTGGCTTCAGACTTGGTCGTGGCTGCATCGACCACATATTCACCATTCGTCAGGTTCTAGAACACAGGCATACTTATCGGCGTCCGACAATAATGGTCTTCCTTGATTTAAAAGCAGCGTTTGACTCTATTGACTGAGAGGTTCTGTGGCAGTGTCTGTCATTAAAAGGCTTGCCTCAGAAGTACATAAATCTTGTGAAGGCTCTTTACTCGAAAACTAATAGTGGAGTGAGACCTTATGGCGAACTGTCATCTGCTTTTGCAACCTCAAGTGGCGTCCGTCAAGGCTGTCCACTTTCTCCATTTTTGTTCAACTTCATCATAGATCTACTGATGGGAATAACGCTCTCATCGACTGACTTTTCGGGCATTGATCTCCTACGAGGAGGTCCACTTATTGACTTAGAATACGCAGATGACATAGTCCTGTTTGGTGAAGACACCGATACAATGCAGAGTCTTTTGGTAGCACTGAGCAACAATGCCAGAATGTTTGGGATGCGCTTCTCTCCCTCCAAATGCAAGTTGTTGCTTCAGGACTGGTCTGCGTCAACACCTGAACTAAGGATAGGGAGTGAAGTAATCGAACGCGTTGACAACTTCACTTATCTTGGAAGCCTGATCAGCCCTAATGGGTTGGTGTCTGACGAAATCTCAGCACGGATTCGAAAAGCTCGCTTGACCTTTGCCAACTTACGTCATCTATGGCGAAGGCGAGATATTCGTCTATCAATTAAGGGACGAGTATACTGCGCGGCGGTTCGTTCCGTTCTACTATACGGCTGCGAAACATGGCCTTTAAGAGTAGAAGATATTCGTAAGTTACTAGTATTTGACCACAGATGCCTTAGAAATATTGAGGGTATGTGCTGGGATCACCGGGTAAGTAAAAGTGAGGTTAGACGCAGGGTATTAGGGAATGATGGTAAGTCAGTTGATGAGGTTATGAATCTTCATCGACTGAGATGGTTGGGCCACGTGTTGCGTATGCCTGAACACCGATTACCACGGCGCGCAATGCTAACCGGTGTTAGGGATGATTGGAAGAAAGTTAGGGGCAACCAAACCAAAACGTGGCATCAGTGCTTGAAGTCACTAACTTCTGGTCTGAGCCATGTTGGTAGATGCAGACTACCTGGTTGGGGTCCGCGTGACTATCGTAACCAATGGTTGGAGACTCTTGGTGACATGGCTCAGAATCGATCACAATGGCGTCGGTGTATACACTCTCTGTCTTCCTTTAAATAAGAGATTAAAATCACTTCAAATCTTTCTTTCTACGAACTAATTCTATCTTCCTGTACTTTCTCCTTATACACACTCTTTCTTCTATATATTACCATCACTTAATTAACTACTTCTATGAATCCGGTGTTCATCTTGTTGTGCTAATGCGGTATGGCAACTGGACCGATGCATATACGTGCCTGGTCCTACGTTGCAGCTGACTGACTGACTGAATAACTGCATCTGATGCATCTAGTCATGGAGTTGGAGCAGTGATATCTCACGTGTTTCCGGACAAATCAGAAAAGACAATTGACCATGCTGCTAGATCACTTACCCCAGCCGAGCGAATCTACAGTCAAATTGAAAAGGAAGCTCTTGCAATCACTTTCGCTGTAAAAAGATTTCATAAAATGCTCTATCGTCGTACATTTACTCTACTGACAGATCACAAACCTTTGATTGCAATGTTTGGTTCTAAGAAAGGAATCCCTGTCTATACGGCTAATAGACTACAGCGCTGTGTAACAATGCTCCTGAGTTATGATTTCAATATCAAGTATCATTCGACAAATACTATCGGTCAAGCCGACGCTCTCTCTCGATTAATTGGAGTTCAGCATCCTGGACCAGAGGATATAATTATTGCTTCCATAGCAGTAGACCCAGAAATACGAAGTATAGTGGCAGGTGCCATTCGAAACACTCCAGTGTCGTCAGATGAAGTCAGAGAAGAAACTCTTCAAGACCCGATTCTACAAGAAGTTAGAAAGTTCCACCTGGAAGGGTGGCCCGCGAAGATCAGTTACACAGAGCTTCAACAGTTTTACCAGCGTAGACTCATTCTTTCAATCATCGACGACTGCCTGCTGTTTGCCGAACGTGTCATAATCCCAAAGAAGCTACAACCAGCAGTGCTTGAACAGTTGCATGCAGGACATCCTGGAATAAATCGCATGAAAGCATTAGCACGAAGTTATGTATACTGGCCGCATTTAGACACCCAACTGGAGCAGCTATCCCGTTCATGTACCAAATGTGCATTAGCAACGAAAGCACCGCGAAAAGCAGAGCCGCAATAATGGCCAATACCACAGTCACCGTGGCAGCGTATACATTTGGACTTTGCTGGTCCACTTCATGGACAAACTTACCTTTTGGTAGTTGATGCATATAGCAAGTGGCCAGAAATCTTTCTCATAGAACACCCGACTGCAAACTGCACAGTCAGTAAGCTACATCAACTATTCAGTCGTTCCGGAGTCCCGGAATTGATAGTTAGTGACAACGGAACACAGTTTACGTCCGTTATCTAACAATTTTGTCGGCAGAACGGAATCCATCACGTCCGAACACCTCCATTCCATCCCCAATCAAATGGTCAAGTGGAACGTTTTGTGAGTACGTTTAAAAATGCTCTAAAAAATCTAAAGGGGAGGGGACCACCGAAGAGATCTTAGAGAGGTTCCTGCTTATTTATCGCTCTACACCAAACCCTCAGACGATTAACGGGGTCTCTCCAGCAGAAGCTCTACTTGGCAGAAAAACACAAACACATTTCGATGTCATCCGTCCTACGCCAGCTCTTGAGCCTCAACGAAACCTATCGATGGAGAATCAGTTCAATCGACATCATGGGGCACAAAGACGATTGTTCACGGTGGGACAAAAAATACTTGCTATGGACTATCGTGAGAAACATCCTACATGGACAGCTGGTCGGATCTTGAAAAAGAAGGGGAGTGTGGTTTATGAGGTGTCAGTTGGCTCAGAAGTTTGGGTACGTCATGCTAACCAATTGAAAGCAACTTCGATAGCCAGCAACGAGATTCAATATCGATTACCTCTTGATGTTCTGCCAGACACCTTTGAAATCAAAACGCCTGGAACAGACAGGTCAGTTTCTGTGCAAGCAAAGAGTGATACTTTTTTATTGCCTAGACGATGGACGAATCGAAAGCACAGGCCAGTCACTCGGTTGCAGTTGGACCCTAGCACCAGATCCTACGAATCTGCTCAAGGGGGAGGTGTTAGCGGGACATAGATTGGATTTAAGCATGCTCAATGCACGATTGCTTTGGCGCACACTAATTGGCTGATTCTTATCCAATCAGCGCTAGTCGATACATGGAGAAGACTCTAGATTCTTCTTATGTAAAAAGCTATAAATATACTAACGGTTTTCCTATATTGCTTCTTGCTTCTATCTAACCTTGTTATTTGAAATATAATCTCCTTCCTGCTCAACCGTGTTCTGATTTGGGGCCTTGTCGAGTGAATCTGTGTCCGTGAATACTAAGCAATAGGAATAGCTGGGTTATAACCGTAAGAGTAAATATAACAGTTGGGCACGGGTTTAGCAACCCCATCCCATAGAAAAGAACCTTTCTAAAAAACCTAACTGTATTATCAATGTTATCGACTTTTATAACTTCTATTCAACTACATTATTTACATACCGATGATGATGACTTTATTTAACTTCTATTTTATTGGAGTTGACCTTTTATTTTGAGATCTGCTACGGAATTACCAATACATACATAAATTCGTTAGGCAGAGATAGTGACAAAATAAATTTCTTCAGAGTACCATGAGTAAAAATCGAAAAAAGATGGTATTGCAGGACTAACATGTGATGGCAGTTAGTTTAGAGACGAACAGTGATGTGATTGTGTGAATATTAGTTAACTCGCTTAATAAATAGTATCAGGCCTGACTGACTATTTACTAACGAAATATCGCGACCAATACATAAATCTAGCTTGGTACCTGACAACTTATACCACCAATAGCACTAACCCAACCAGTCAATTATCAAGAGGTGAATACAATGTAAAGAAGTGAGCTCTTTTCTACACCATGGCTGTGAAATAAAACTGCAGATTGAGATAAGTATACGGATACAGTTGCTAGACAACGAATATTTTCGCGGCACTAATCGCGTTCAGTGGAGTCACAGAATAATTAATGTTCATCTAGATTCAAATTCTAGGAAATAAGGACAAGTTAGTTGTTTAATTCGTGTACCTGTGCTGACCGAAGTGATTGAATCCAATACTCTATTTATTTTATACCAGACTATACTGACTTGTAACGCTTGTTTGGGTATGAGTATGCTGACAAATCCAAGAGCAGTCACATAAACACACACTATCCATTGAAGTTATAGACTGTTGGTTCTAATTGTACAGGGAGGTCCATGCTTTACCATAACCAATGATTAGGTATGTTAAGTAACGTGATTAAAAATCAGCCCCACCAGTGCGAATGCATTCATTTCCCATCTTCAACTAAATCTCGAACTTCGTATTATTAATAATTTCATTCACTTTTTGATCTTTTTCTTTCTGTCCTTCAGCTTTCCACTGTTATTACTGCTATTATCTCTACACCTTTCCATTTTTCTCGTGTTGCTTTGTATTTTCTGTGCTGATGAGAAGTGTAATAAGGCGAAACGATAAACATTTATATTGGGTCATACTTTGTTTATGTCTGCTTTGGTGAGTTTGTTTGCGGAGAAATCATATTTTTAGAAAGACCCACCGAAAAGAACAATACATACCACTAACCTTAACAATCCGATTACTAAAACTAAAAATAAATGTAATAAGCACAGACGATCCTTAGAGGAAATAATCGACATATCAACAGGATTTCAAAAGGCCAATAAGCAAAAAAACAGTACCTTCTTCAATAGTATCTTCATTTGGCGAAATTTCAACTAGCTCAAACTCATGATCCAGAATAATGCGTGTCATAACCGAAAAAGCATCTGACTCAGAAGGAAACAGAATAGACGGATTAACAGTATGACACACTAGAATCCGTATGGATATGTCATGACTGATAGCCAAGCTCATCAGTTTAAGAGCATCGTTCCAACTAGACACCTTAGGAGAAAATGGATATGAACAAACAGAAAATATATCGACGTAGAGAGGACGAATTCACGAAAAATCAGAAGAAACAACACGCTCGTCGTGATTAACATATTTAATGACACAAATGCATAACAAATGTGCTAATGACTATGTGGATAAAAAACACATGAAGCAGTAAATCGCAAAACGTAAAACTGTACACTAACGTATTTACAGTAAGATCAATAACACAATGTTTGCCCTAGCATGGGAAGGCATATTTGATAAGCCCCAAGTTAGGACGAAGCAAATGGATAAAGTTGATCATTGATGAAATAATTTCTCAAATTATTCATTGAACATTATCTAATGAAACAATATTATTCTGATTTTACTTTTCTTAAGTGATCCTTCATCAGCCCCCAAATGCCCCGGTATGGCCAAGAGTGGGGTGGGCTGATAGATTAGAAAGTTCCATCAAAGTGAGAAATCAGCGTGAGAAACTGTCTTTTCGTCATCTTCGCATATGCCACAACAGATTGCAGCCCGGATGCAATCAAGGATGAATTCTACCACCAGTTAACTGTTCTTCTCCAGAAAGTGCGTTCGACAGATATTGTAGTACTAGCCGGAGACTTGAATGCTCAGGTCGGGCGTCTAGTCACAGAAATGATGCAACCAGATTAAGTTGAACTTTTATATTTCTGCAAAATAAGGGTGCTAGTTGTACAAGCGATAAATGTAAGTCAAGTGCCTTTCGTTTTACAAAGTAATAAGGTGATTTATTTATTTATTTGAACACATAAATATTGGTAAAAGAGGGAACCAGATATATGTGCGCCACACAAAACAATGAAAATGGGAAGAGAAAAAGAAGGTAAGGTACATATAAGGAAAAAAACAATAACGACCACAGATTAGTGTGTGGTAGTGTATAATAGATAATAATAATAATAATAATAATAATAATAATAATAATAATAATAACAATAATAATAATGGGGGAAACGGAAAGGTACAACCAAAAGAAATCTTCCAGTTAAGGAAGATACAACCACTTTTTATGAAGAAAGTAAAAGAAGGTTACAGCAGGATCGCCACTGGCTTCTATTCTGAGCCATATCTGATAACATCTCTAGCCACTGTGTTACATCATCTCTCGGACCCCAGCCAGGGAGTCGTGAAGGACCGACACAAGCCAGCCCTTTGCAGCTTTCTTTCATACCACGACACCATGTCATACACTGACCACCTCTCCGCTTTTTCCAACCATTCCCAAAGTCGGCAAATAATGCACGACGTGGAATTCTCTGGGATGACATTTGTAGAACATGTCCAAGCCACCGAAGTCGGTGTTTCAAGATGGTGACACCAATCGGATTGTCGTCTCTGTGCCCGAACACACGACTACTTCTATCTGCTCACTATCCAGGGTGAGTACAGGATTAGAATCCTACCAGTCTTGTAGAGGTACTTTGCACTTCGAAGGTGCAAAGCACATACCATACCTACGGACACTGATTGCCAATGACAATCCCAGAGAACAGTTCTGTCCAACGAATCGAAGGCAGTCCTGATATCAAGAAACACTACGATTGTTGGCCTTTGATAAGTATGACGGTGTTCTAACATTTGGCGGAGGGCGAAGATATGATCAATACATCCTCGACCGGGACGAAAACCAGCCTGCTCCTCGCGAGTCAATCCTTCTCGGGTTTTGAACAACCTACAAAGTATAACGGAAGCCAATAGCTTGGACGCAATCGGAAGTACACTTATCCCCCAACAGTTGTTACAGAAACGACGTGAACCCTTTTTAAAGATAGGGACAACTATCGACTCATTCCATGACGTTGAACTGCCCTTCGAAGAATTCTGCCCATCGTCCAAGACCTCGACGGATGTTAGTGATTGGCATCCCGTCATCCTCACAGATCGTTTCGCTCACATCAGACTTCTTGCTGCCATAGGCTCGGATGAGTTGGAAGAGCTTCCAGTAGTTACCAGATGCAGCTGCTGCTTCTAGCTCATTAGCACGCTCCAACCACCAGACTTCTCGATCCTTACGCAAGCTTTGCCCAATTTCAATATGTAACATCCTTCGTTTGTAGTCAAACTCACGGTCACCCGGAGTAGACCGACGGGCTTCGATGAGTTGTAAAGGTAAAGGAAAATGAGTCTTTTTACATAGAACTAAGGACTCTGAAAAGATTTAGCCTATTATCAAGGTGGTTAAGTGGCGTTACCCTAAAAAATCGTGAACTGAGATAAATACTGTTTATTATCCTAATTTGGGAAGAATTGTTCCAAATGTACAAGGTAAAAGTACACTGTTACTGGTAAGTAAAAAATAGTAAGGATTATAGTACATGGGCTTTTCAGGAAAAAGTGCTTACAGAATAAAAACTGGCGATGCATCTCTACAAGTTTATAAGATACATAACACAACTGAATATAATTAGTACTCGCTTTCAATTTAGAGAAAGATTTGTGGTTTTAACAGTGCGAACTCATTATTCATTGTATCCTTCCAATCCAACAGCCTTTAGTATTCCCAACCACAATACTCTTCTCTTATTAACCAAGAAAACGGAAAAGCGGAAATAGAGGTGAACTTTGTAAAAAAAAACACTGAAATGCTTTCAGGACAGTGTGAATATGGGCGACAATGCATCAATTTTTTTTCGCCTCTATCTGAGGTAAACAGTACAAATTTTCACTTAATTTTCCCATTGAGTGAAAATGTCTCGAAGGTAACACTTTCATCTTTCCCAAATAGTCTACTTTTCTCCAATATTAACACTGAATTGTCTACATTCCCCCGCAATTCGAGTAACCTCATAGTTTCCTCTAATTATTCTTCTTCGATTTGGGCACCCGGGCAGTATCCCAGCCCTCAAACAAATCGAGTGATTTATGTGGCGCATATCTATTTGGTGCCTCCTTCTACCAATGTTCATGTGTTCAAATAAATAAATATGTCCAAGACCAATGCTTTTAAGAGTACAGTCCAGCATTACTATATCATTCGTTTCAAAATTAATGCATCTATTCCCAGATTAATGTATAGATACTCTGAAACATTTCAGAGTTGGACATAATCAAAAGAAAATATGAGGGCACTCGAATTTCAATTATATCACAGGTCGCAAACAATGATATCCGGTATCATTGTAATGCGACAGATGATATTACTATGAAGAACAACATTCAAAAAACCTCGGCTGGGGATCAGATAGCTTACAGTTACCTTTATAGATTGAAGAGTTAGAAGACTTAGATGCATATCTTCAGCAAAAAGGGAGATTTGCAAGTATACTGACTAATTTTACAGCATGTTTACTATGTAAATGGCGATGATAACTAGATCGACAGATGATCGTTCGGAAGCCTCAATCAGACCAATTTTATCCTACCTCAGTAGCTAAGTGGATAACGCGATGGCGTTTGAAGCGGACGGTACTGGGTTCGAGTCCCGGAGTGAACATCAACTCTGAGATGCAGGTACATCCAGCTGACGAGTCCCAAATAGCACGAAACGCGCGTCAAACTGGATTCCACTGCTAGCCACTATCCATCTTTGCCCCCAAATGCCCTGGTACGGCCGAGAGTGGGAAGAGTCCGCTCTCCCTCTCGAAATGCTCTCACATGGCCACGCGTATACAGCCTCTGCCAGGGAAGTCCTACTCACTGCCTTCTCGTGGCGAGGGTGTTGTTTACGAAAATCAGAGGACGAAAACCGAATTTCCGGCGCTTTAACCGGACCCCAAACCAATGGTGCACATGGGCTCCAGTATCCTGAAGGAACAAATGGAGTATGAACTAATCGTTGGTCACCGACTACCATGGGACTGCATCTGCTCACGATGCTCCACTGCCTTGTGGGTCAGACGTTCAGGTCGAAGGCTCGGGGTGTGGCCCCCTAACAAAACCACCTGCTTCGGTTTGGGCACCCGGGCAGTATCACAGCCCTCACACAAATCAATTGAGATTCGTGTGGCGCATATGTACTTGGTGCCTCCCTGTACCTATACTTATGTGTTAAAATAATAAATAAATAAATAAATAAATAATAATACCTAATAAAACCCGATTTGTCAATAAAATTCATATTGATGGGGACGACCATAAAACGGAGTATTCTATAGTTTCGATTCTATAGCAGTATATTAGGCAATACTATATTTGTCTCTTATGCACAAGGTCCCTTAACATCTGAATCCTTATAGTGCAATGTTGATGAAAAGGTTTACAGTGGCACTACCCAAAGGAGCTTTCACGATATGAGAGATAAATTGATCAACCATTATTATGGAAGAAAAGGAACTTTTAGTAACACTTTGGGTGTTAACTTTCGCGTTTCATTGTTTAGAGGCATAGACCAGCTCTTTGCAATATCACCATAAGTGTTACCTTATTTTATAGCGAATTTGTAGTAAATATTCCACAAAACGCATCCACAACTGTCGGTTGCTGTTCCACTTCAGAATTCAAGTGACGGAAACGCTGCTCCTTAATGACAACACTTTTATTGCAACAATTCCCGAAAGCCTTTTCAATTTTTGTTAAATGAATGTTTTTTAAACCCATACTAAGCTCATTTGCATTGAGTGTGTTGAAAAAAATTACATGTAACAGTTAGGCGTTAGTATCCATTAGTATTTCGTTTAAACAAGAGGCTTCTTTAATAAATTAACGCAAGCCTTGTATTAACTAACTTCTTTAAACTATGATTGAAGATAACTCTGTCGAAGTTTTACTGTAACTATAGTGTAAATATAATTGGCGACGAAACGTGCTTCATTGAAATCAATCTCCTGAATAATGACAAGTGCCCAGAAAATGTGGAAACCCTGGGGAACTAAAGGTGAATTTCCTGAGTAGACAGGCGATAGGAAATAAGTTTATCAATTCACAGGGCAATTTAACTACCTGATGTGTTAAACGTGGGGAAAAGTAAAAAATGTTGAAAACAGTAAGCATTAATTTCGTACTATTTACCTCGGAGAGGCAAAAGAAAATTTCAAGCATTGTCGCCTATGTCTACACTGACATCTCTGTGGGAAATTCTTCAGTATTTTTTTTACACGCTCTGTCTTTATTTTATCTTTGCATTCTGCTTGAAACGTGATGTTGTTAACCATTAAAACGGGAGAATACGGGTAACTGTATCCTTACCTTATCCCCGGAAAAATAAATGATAACCCCGTGAACATTAAGAAACTCTGGTGATTTGTTAAGAGCATATAATTTGTCTAGGGATCGAATAATCGTATCAGCTGAGTAGTATTTGCAATCAATTTTGAGCTCATACTCCGAATCACGTATTTTAAGCACTTGAAATTTTCAAATTAAATCGGAATTTGTAACGTACAGTTATCAAACAATGTTCTCAAGTCACAGCCACTTTCCGAAGCATCAATATATACAATCTCAGGTAAAGCCATCGAACGACCTTGAGAACCTCATATTATGCGTTAAGGTTGACCAAACGCCAAACTCAAATGCTTCAAATGGTTCAAATGGTTGTGGACGGAATAGAAGAAGCTTTCGCTTAACGAGCTTCCGTGTCTAGTAGCAGAGGATCACCAATACCATCGTATATCAGGGACTCCATGATCTCTGAAGGTATAGAGAGAAGAGCCACCGGTCGGTAACTTGAAGGTTCGCAGCGTCGACCTCCTCTGAAGATTGGTGTGATATGAGCCAGCTTCCAAATATCCGGTAGTTTGCCCCGACTTAGCGAGTGTGAGAACATCACGCTAAGCGGTGTTGCCAGGATTGAAGCTGCTTCCCTCAGTATAGGAGAGTGGACCATATCTGGACCAGGAGATGTGTCTGCTCTTAGGTGCTGTAGTTTTCGGAGCACCAAGTCAGCTCTCAATTTCACTACGGTAAGTCCTGTGCAGTTTCAGATGAAGCCGTCATCAATATAGTTGATGTGGGTCGGTTGAAATGTCCGGGAGTGTTGCTCAGCCAGAAGGTTAGCGGCGTCACCGTCTTTATCGGTCGGGCCATTAGGACCTAGCAGTTGAGAAACTCCAGTTTTGGCTTGACGAAGAAAGGCTGCGTAGCGGAATAAGCTTTTCGTATCGGAGACAAATTTATCCACAAGCTTTAGCTAATACTGAAGCCTGTCTTCTCTTATAGCCTTCGTACATATGTTCCTTATATGTTTGTATTGCCTGTACTCGCCGTTGTTGTCGGTTCGTTTGTATTCTGCACAACAGTGCCTTTTACGGCCTAACAAACGAAGAGTGCGGTTTTTGATGATTGTAGGTTGCATGTGGCTTTTGGGGACCGTTTGAGGGACTAACTGCTTTGTAGCACATAAGGGCGTGTGTAGTAGGAAGTTCCAGTGAGCATCCACATCAATTTGATGGTGAACATCCCAATCCATCTGTCGTAGATAGTCCTGTAGAGCTTACACATTCAACCGTTTGAAATTCCAGCGCCTGTTGTTGTTGGGATATCTTAGCTCAGTTTTGCTGACAAAACTGAAGGCTATAACGGCGTGATCGCTTTTCCCCAGGGGAGCCAGAATTGAGAGGTTGTCTACTAAAATTTCTTCATTTGTAAAAACACAGTCTAAGCGCGACGGTGTCTGACTGTTCCCAGATCCTCAATGAGGTTGAAGAATCAAGCTTCGATTGAATTTTCACCTCCAATATACTTATGTTCCGAGAAGTTGACTCTAGGGAGATTGAAGCCCCTTAGAATCAGGATATGAGTGAAACCGAGACGCGTAGAGTGGGATAGCCCTTCCAGCATACTCGATGTCGGCAGTGAACTTCCTATATATGACTCCGACTAGGCACCTCGAAGTAATGGACAATCTCACAGAGCACCATATCGATTCCTCAAGATTGTCAAACTCATGGTTGTGAACTTGGTGTACCTCCAAGCCAGATCGTATGTATAGGGCTACTCCACCCCCAATTCCTGTTTTTCTGTCAAATTGTTCAAATGGTTGTAGATGGAATAGAAGCTTTAGCTCAACGGGCTACCGTGTCTAGTGGCAGTGAACCACCTCCAGATAAAAACCTAGGCATATTTATTGCTGAACAAATTTGGTAAGTCGTAATGTATTATTGTACTAAAACCTAAGGAATATGTCGAGTTTCCTAATGAAGGACGCCTGGGATGTCACTTGAACTACCTAAGCAAGCGGCAAACTTTATCATTCGACTACTACCACAAAGTAGAAGGCGTGCCTACAGTCCGTTCTACTATGTTGTGTCTCCAGATTCTAGGTCTTACCCATATGTTGTCTGTTTGCACTGAGATTAAGTGGGTATTTAAGAAGAAGACTGGGAGCTCTTAGAATACTATTAGTCGTCTCAAGGTCATCTGCAAGACTCTTACACTCTAATGGACGAAGGTTTACAGATTTGAAGCCTGTTTAGAATCAGTGGAAAATTCTGCCGTCAAACTGGCCAAGAATGCACTTCGACTTGACCAGTTCAGGGTTTGCTAGAAAGGCATTTTTGTCGTAGTTAGTGTAAGACTTCAAATCATAGGGAACCAACATTCTCAGATCTTGTTCAACTCGAGATACTTCCAGAGAGTATTTACCTGAGTTGTATGTGTACTCTGCTACATGTCTCACATGGACCACTTTGCACTTTGAAGTGTTAAGTGTAAGTTCATTGATATCTGCCTAACTTTGAGGCCGAGTCAGGTCCTCCTTATGTGCCAGATATTCTTCCTCGTTGCAAACGTCTCTCCAAAGTTTCACATCAGCTAAAAGTAACAAATCAGACAATACTTGCTGAGTAAGGCCAATTATGCAAGTTAAGAAAATAAGAGGTCAATGCAAGTTTGACCCCTATCCAATTGTCTCTAAATAGTAGTTTCTTCTTTAAGTAAATCTTGTAGGGCTCGAAACCTGCTGCTGAAAGCAATAGTGAATTCGTTGAGTGTGACAGTATGTCGAAAGAAGACTGTATTGAGCCTTTGTAAAGCTGCTTCCTCAGTTGTCCAGTGCTTCTTTGTATCAGACTCAGCTTAACAACCACCGGCTAGTGATATGAAGCACAAATGACAATGTTTTTGAGAATACTCGTAACGAAGAATGCTGAGATGATATTTTACATCTGAAACAAAGGCATCCTTCTAGAATTTCGAACTTATTCAAAGTGAAATTCACCACACACTTCTCAACAACTTTCGAAACACTCCGCAACAGAGGCTATCCCTTAGTTGTTCGAAATCGACATATGAGATAACACGAACAAGGTAATAAGTAAAATAATTTGTTATCATTTCGAAAGATCACTCTTCATTAAACATATCGAAAACCATTTCTTTGAATTGATCGTAAGGCGGAGTGACAGAAAAGGGAAGAGAGCATATTTTATGCCACTAAAACTGCTGTAGGGCCAGTGAAATTCCACTGAGCCCTAGCCAAATCATCCGGCAGTTGGGTCATTGAATATCGAACAAATCACCGATCATCGTCAAGGTCAAGGACCCACGGCTCAGTACTAGGACCTCTCCTCTTCCTGATTTATATAAATCTTCTCCCTCAACAGGTAACGTCAGACATATTGCTCTTTGCCGATGACGCGAAACTTTGGAGAGAGATACGGAACCAAGAGGACATACAGGCACTTCAGGAGGATCTGACTCGACTTCAAAGTTGGGCAGATGATAACGGACTTACCTTTAACACTTCAAAGTGTAAAGTAGTCCATCTGCGACACGTCGCAGATTACAGTTACAACTTAGGAAACTCCTCTCTAGTAGTATCCCGAGTCGAAAAAGATTTAGGAGTTCTGGTGCCCTACAACTTGAAGTCTTACGCCAACTGTGACAAAAATGCCTTTAGAGCAAACCTTGATCTGGCAACATTGAAGCGCATTTTTGGTCAGTTTGACGGAAGAACTTTCCACATGATTTTCAACAGTTTTATTTGTCCACATTTAGAGTACGGAAACATAGTATTCCCTCCTACACTCCAGAAGGATAAGGACACTCTGGAGCGTATCCAAAGGCGAGCCACGAAATCAGTTCGGGGACTCAAATTTAAACCTTACGATGAGCGCCTCCGATCACTCGACCTTTACCCATTAGAGTACAGGTGTCTTAAAGGTGACATTCTAATGGCTTACAGTATCATTAACACTCCTGGACATCCTCCTAAACACCTACTTAAGCTTAGTCCCAACACTAACCGAAGGGATAACACCCAGAAATTAGAGATACAACCTAGTAGAACGGACTTCAGGCACAACTTCTACTCCTTAAGAGTTGTCAAATGCTGGAACTCGCTGCCAGCTGAGCTAGTCCAAGCAACTTCCCAGGATTCCTTTAAGAGGCGACTCGATCTATTCTTAAAGACTAAGGATAGTATCTTTCTATGATATACCAATTTACTTTTTTTCTCTTTTATCGTTAACATACCTAGGTTCTTGCCTGGAGGTATTGGTGATCCTCTGCTACTAGACACGGAAGACCGTTAAGCGAAAGCTTCTTCTATTCCGTCCACAACCATTTGAACCATTTGAACCATTTGGACCAGATCACGTGTGGGAACGCCGTGCTCAACATCTGCCGCAATCGCTAGCCAGATTAGTTCAAACGATCCTCGATAAATTGATAGCTTACCAAATATATTTTTGAACCTCCTCGCTTCTGTCTTTTGATTTCACTTGTTGGTTACGCTTCATATTAGAAGGTGTTACTGGTTAAAGCGTTGTCAATCTCCGAATATCTGTGGCATCTCCATTGGTGAGCCCGACGTGATCTGGTACACCAAATTGCAAATTGTGAGTCTGTTCCTTTTCGGGATTTTATTTATCATTGTCTTATTTTAATTTTTTATACATTGTGATATTTTTCTCGTGTTTTTGGATATATATATTTCCCATTCGTCCATCCTTGCACTTAATATATTACTATGACTGAACAGACACCTGATGTAGTTAAGTTAAAGACTTTGTCCCCACCTTCCTTCCAACTTATGCCTTTCTGGCCAGACAACATCGAAGCCTGGTTTCGCTACGCAGAAGCCGACTTCTACGAGCACGGTGTGAACGATACACGTGCGAAATTCCTCGCAGTAGTCAAAGCACTACCACGCGAGGTTAACAGGTACGTAACACCTAGTATGTTTACTAGTGATGTTTTTGACCTATACAAAACCCTCAAACATGCTATCCTTAAACGTGGAGATCTAACCGATCGGCAAAGGTTAGACCAACTCCTTAACAACATCGACCTGCAACACGGTTCTACCACAGACATGTTGCGAAGAATGAGAGAAGTTATTGGCCAAAGAACCTTCGACTATGGCCTATTCAAACAGCTTTTCTTATCAAAACTTCCTCAACAGGTGCAAGCTGTGCTGGTCTCGTTCCAAAACAACGCCGTAGACGAGCTGGCTGAATCTCCTGACCGCATTCTCGAAATCACTAGATCTTCTAACGCCGAGGTTTTTTCAGTCAAAGAAAAGCCTCAAACGACTCAAAATGACATAACAAAATTATGTCATAAACT